ATGACATATTTTCCGAGTTTTTTGGGTTTTCGAGCCCATTTGGAAGAAGCGGTGGCGGTGGTAGTGGCGGTGGCATGATGGGTTCAAGATTTTCAAGTAGTTTGTTTGGTGATGATCTCTTTGAGGCTTTTGGGGACAGGGGAGGTGGTGGGTCAATGCACCAAACAGGGCCTAGGAAGGCACCTCCAATTGAAAGGACTTTGCCTTGTAGTTTGGAAGAGCTCTATAAAGGAATCACTAAGAAGATGAAGATCTCAAGAGAAATTGCTGATGCTAGTGGGTAAGCATTTCCTATAGTTGTTTGAATTTATTGGACTTTATTTTTGTTGTTTATCCAATTTTGGTTCCGTTGACTTTGATATGCAAATTTGGTAATCGTTCATCGATATGTGTTTAAATGGTTCTTTGGTTCACCATAGGTACTTGTGTGTCTATTACTCATTTGCAAGGAAAGGAAAAATCAACTGCCAATATCAATTTACATCTCAAAAGATCATTCAAATTTTAATTTATTTCTTCAAAGTTTAAAAATATTAATTTATATCCTAAAAGATATAATTCAGGATATAAATTTATATAAACTAGCAATGCAGCTTGTGAATATATTTAAATAATAATTTTTCATAAGAAATTCAAATTATATATGTAATTAAATTGAATCTAAATTATGTGTAGAATAGTTAATTATTATTTTAACTATTGTTAAATTTAATTATTGATCTATTCTACCCCTATTTGAATATCTAATCTGTCGTTTGTTTAGATATCTCCCCGCATTCGACAATTTTCTATTTAACATAGAAATCAAATAGGTATAGGAAATAAAAAGTGTATGAAAGTAATAAAGAATTTAGAATTCAAATATTGTAATAAAAGAGTTTAAAATAACTTAAAAGTCAAATAGATAAAGGAAATAAAAATGAGATCAAAGTAAGATGTGGGTATTATTAATTTTATAATAATAATTAAGGATATAAAATAGGAAATCAAAAATTTTTCACTGATGCTTACATTTATAAGTAATATAGATGTGCACCTAGCGACTCTGTCCATTTTTTCGTTAATAAGGTTGGGTTAATTATAAATTATAACCTTCAAGTTTAAATATTTGATATTTATTATCCAAAAAGAATTTTATCCATTAATGCTCGTTAAATAGGTGTCAATTGTATTGTATCGTAACATCTTCTTGTCATGTTTGAGTCAATAAAAAAATATTTTTTAAAATTTTAAAAAAATTATAAAATACTTATTTGTTGCCTTCAATACTCGATAAATAACTATTTTTTGTCTATAGTTAGACACAAATTTTTTGGTTGTCCAATCAAATTAAAGTTAGATACGAATAACACAATTGTAAACAAAAAATTGGTATTTTTTAATTTTTAAAAAATATTAAATAGTATTATATGAATTGTCGTAAATGTGAAATATAAAACACAGCACAATTGACCGACACAAAAATATTTTTTGTTAAAAATATTTTTTATAGACTTGAATACAATACGAAAATATTATGATACGATACAATTGAGAGTTATTTAACTAGTATTAATTGATGAAATTCTTTTTTGATCATAAATTTGAAATATTTAAATTTTGAGGGGTGTAATTTATAATTAACCCAAACTTTTTTAACTGCAAAATAGATGACAGTTAGTCTTAGGTGTATATTGATACGTATTTATATCTTTCAGGGTGTAAATAATAGTTTTAAACTTTGAAAGTGCAAATTAAGATTCGAATGATCTTTTAGGGTGCAAGATGAGATTAGCCCAAAAATCAATTTGTCATGTAAGATGTTGTAGAAGATGAGATGCCTCCCTAGTGGTTGCCTAAGACAAGTCACAATTCTATACTTGATGTGAACATATGTACAATTATTGCTGTCAAGATGGTTCAGATTTGTGAGTGCCATATTTGAGACTCACTTTCCCATCTCCACCTACACCTGATTTTCTTATCTTCATTTTTCCTTAAATTAAAATGTATTTGAAATGCTTAGAGTATTAAAAGAGCATGAAAAAGTGGTTAGATTAAATTAAGTTTCAAGATATAAAATATAATAGGAAATGGAAATGTAGGGTTAAGATGTGCACTTACAAAATTTGGTGTTGAATTTATGAATATTTCTTGTAGTTTCTTCGATTCAGACGCTCACATTTGGATTATTAGTTTCATGGGATCAAATTCATTTTATGATAGATAATTACTGAATAAAAATTAATATTAAGGAGACGTATAGTACTAGCTATTGAAGTAGAAACTACAGAAATTGAAAAGTTTTGTATCCCAAATGCATATTTGGGTATACATTTATAGACAGACATTTGTTAAATAATTTGGTACTTATTAGCAGGACCTCAGACCTACCCAATCTACAATTTGTGTGGAGAATAATACCATTTTGTCACCTTCCAGGTGAAAACATTGTCCTTGGATACATACTAATAGAGGGCATACTATTTCACGAACTGATTTGTAAACTGAAGTGAAATTTCTGTTTTCAAATAAAGCAAGCCCAGTCCACTTGTTGTATAAACACTCTTTCTTACATTTCAACCTTCTGGTAGTATGACAGTGCCATTTGCTTCTTAGAACTATTCTGATCAAATGCGAATCATAGATGATGTACGCAAAATCCTTTATAGGATTACCTTTTGAAAGGATAAAAACAGTTGGGATACACCAAGCCCATGATTTGGTACTAAAGTTGTTCATACCAAGTTCAGTGCATTTTGTTGAAGTTCATTTGTTGCTGCAAATGTGTAATTGCTAAATGTAGAGCATTTCACTTTGGAGTTGCAGGACAATGTTTCGTAGACTGGTTTTGGGCTCTAATCGTTGCATCTTGCGCCATCTTCTGTAATAAAGTATTGCACCTTAGCTGTTACTTTCTATAGTGCTTGTAATGAACTTCCCATTAGGGACTTAGATCATAGTGTCGTGAAATTTCATAGTTACACCCAGGTTGTTTTCTGCTTCCAGGATTAGATTTGTGAGTGACATAACATTCATGACATTTATAGTTATTTATAATGTGGACAACCTCATAAAAAGACTTTTGCTTTTTATTTGTTGGTTGCATCTTTGGTATGTATGGACTCTATTGGACGTGTGATATCAATCATATCCCTAGTTTAAAACACTTTGATTTGGTGCAGTAAGACCATGCCAGTGGAGGAGATTCTGACTATAAATGTCAAGCCTGGGTGGAAGAAAGGTACAAAGATCACCTTCCCAGAGAAAGGGAATGAGCAACCAAATGTTATTCCTTCCGATCTTGTCTTTGTCATCGATGAGAAACCTCATAGCGTGTTTACCCGTGATGGAAATGACTTAGTTGTCACACAAAAGATACCTCTGGCTGATGCATTGACAGGTTACACAGCCCGCCTTACCACCTTGGATGGCAGGAATTTAACCATTCCAATCAACAATGTGATTCATCCAAATTACAAGGAGGTTGTCCGGGGTGAAGGTATGCCAATTCCAAAAGATCCATCAAGGAGGGGAAACTTGAGAATCAAACACATCATCAAGTTCCCAACAAGGCTGACTGCAGAACAAAAGGTTGGTGTCAAGAAATTATTGCCTTCTTGAGATCGACTTATTGGAGTGTCAAATGCATACGAGGCAAGGCAGTTTTGTGAATATACTATACGCCTTTGAGTGAAGCTTATATTCTTTTAGAATTATAGAATGAATGTCAATTAGAGGTTGGCCGTTTGAAGTTTTTAGTGTTATAGTTGTATATATCCCTTTGGTTGCGATTTTGAGTTTATGCTAGCTGATGTCCTGAAACATGAAGAGTAATGTCTAGGTTTTTTTCCCCAGTGATGACAATGAGAGGTGGTGTAAAAATATTTGCAGTTGAATTGTATTACTACTATCAGCCATGTGTTTCTAATTCTTTTGATCTTTGATCTTCTATGGTCATCCTACATAATGCTTGTGGATTTTTGATGCTCTTTTCATGTCCTGGGCAGAGATCAAGGTTTTGTCTGTATTTTGGAGTTGGCTAGTCTAAGATATTTTGTTCCGTTTCTTTCCTCCAAAAAAAAAAACCCATTTTAAGTTTTTTTTTTTTTTTTGCCACAAGGTGTCCAGATTTATGTTGATTATTCCATAGAACTCGGATATTAGTCACCTTAGTTCAAGCGGATTTAGAACATTATTTCCTAAGAAATAAAAGTGGTTGATATTTAGAAGATATGAGACATGTTGAATCTAGGAAATAAGGTGATTGGTACTTAGAAGACATGAAAAGTGTTGAATTTAAGACGTAGTGGGGTTTAATCATTGAACCAATCCTAATAAAGATAATTACTTGATATGCTACTTTCTCATTCTAGGATCTCCCTGTCGAAAGATTCTCTACATATTTCTCCAATTGCCATCACCAAATTTCAAACCCAATCCAAGAATACAATATTTTTAATCCTTCCGAAGTTCTACTAGGTTGGATACATAGAATATTTTCCCTTTTTGGTTAGTTTTGTTTTGTTTCGTGCAATGTAAAAAGTAACAGACACAAGGTAGAAAGAAGCGCAAAGACAGAGATCCACAGGTAAAACTTACATCTCAAACAAAACAAAAAAAAGACTAATTTCCACAAATGGCCCTAAACTACATCATTTGTGTCAATTAGGTCATCTAAACTAATTTTTATGTCAAAACAGTCTCTCAACAATGTAATCTGACTCAATGGCATCATGTCTATCCAAATTCGTTGTTAACTTTAACAAAAAGTCTTACGTGCACATCACGTGTAGGGATCGCAGTGGACCAAAAAAAAATGAGTATTCAACAAAATCCACCTCATTTGGACCGGAAATTAATAATATGTATTAAACGGTAGACGCATACGTAAATACCCGTATAAACTTGTTAAGTAAAATACACATTTGTTATATAAAGATATTATATATAGTCTAGGGACCATCTGTTTAGTTAACTACAAAAAAACAAAAGAAATGTAGCTGAGGGTGTGAAAAAACTCAAAACTTGAGTACCACCAACCCATGTACACCAGGTGATATAATTAGGCCCTTTCCGGGTACCAGGTGAAGGCTCGAAACTTGCCATTTCCTACAACCATTGCAAACAGGATTACTTTCGTGACCATTAAAATTGCTGTCCAAAGATGGCATTACAATATTTATGTTGTTTGCTGCAAAAGAAAAGTGTCATTTCAGAACACCATATTACATATTTTGGCTAGACTTTGTTTACAACTTAATACTCAAATTCAGATAAACAAAGATAATTTCATTCAAAGATGATTCACAGTGCATTAAGGTGATCCGCACTGTAATTACAGATCCCCAATAAATACATAAGGTGTAAAAATTACAGAGGTAGTACCAGTGGTTTTGAGAGGACTTCAAACTTGATATACAGTTTGTCAATCTTTCTGAATTTATGACTTGTTATTCACTGTAATCTGTCGATGTAGATCCTGTAACATCATCTGGGTTCCACATTTGCTGTCCACCAATATCCTTGTTCCCCTCTTCATCCGACTCGCCATTAAAGTACCCTCGAACATCTACATCTCCCTCACCATTGTCATCCTCATCACCATTCTCATCATCTTCGTCATCATCGTCTGCCTCGTCGACACCACCATCCTCGTCTTCTTCACCATCTACATTATAATCGGCACCCTCCTCCGTGAAGAGCTCAGGCTGGCCGTTAAGGACACTGGGATAGTTATCCACCATTAAATCATCATATTCATCTCCAGTCGCATGACCATTATCTTCATCATAATCCGATCTTTCCGAACTGCTAACACTCTCAGCACCCACAACTTGCATCTGTGCGGTTTCTTCCCCAATCCACTCCTGTGGACTTGCACTTCTAGGAGTTTTCTCAAAAATATTCTCTTCAATTTCATCTCTAGCACCAGCTATCTCTGCCACCCTCTTCACTGGCTTGTGTCTACTTCTAATGGACCGACGACCCTGCCTACGTCCTCCACGTCCACGTGTTCGCCCTTTCCACCCCACCAATTGCCCAAATCTCTCGCTATTTGTCCTGGAACTTCTCTGGCCAGCTTCAGATCTCGACCTAATGACCCGTCTCTGAGATCTCCCACCACGGGTACGTCCACGGCCTCGTCCCCGCCCTCGGCCTCGCCCAGAGCCAATTAGTCCAGTCCCTGGATCAATCAAAGGATCTTGTGGCAAATACCCAACTCCATATGGAACTTGTGCCAGTTCATCCTCCGGAAAATTCTTCACAACAGCATATTGTGACAGTGGTGTCTGAATACAGGAAAAAGTGAGAAAGCAGCTTACAAGGAGGAACAAAAATATGGACACCTTCATTTAAATGAAGAAATGCTCACAGATTAGAAGTGACCCACAGCAAATATGTAGGTTATTATAAATGCTATTAACGTTATAGGAAAAGAGTATACCCTACAAGAAAAAAACACAAAAGAAACAAAACCACAAAAACAAATGCTTCCCTTCAATTCATGTTCTTTAGCTAGCAGAACACATTATTTTGTTACATGAAATAATTGTACTTACTATGAAATCCCCAGCTCCTCTGTCATTTTGAGACTCTGCTTTCTGATCTGGCATGTAATAAATGGAGGCATCAAGTTCCATAAGCCTCAGTGCCACAGCAGCTGTCGTTTGAGGTACCCATGGAAGCACAGGTACCGTTTCAAGGCTGAACAACTTATTAGCAGCACTTCCTATCAGGTTATGAGAATCCAACAATTCATTGGTGGTCTCATAATTTGAAAACAAAAAATCCCTCTTTATGATACCCTCCAACAATGTCAAAATCTGCATAAACAAAGAAATAGTTAATCAACTCCACTTAAGAAAAGAGCACAAGAAACTGAAAAGAAAAAGAAAGTCTCCAGACACCAAATAGAGACGATTTCCACACACAGGATTAAAAGGAAGAATAAGTCCCCAAAAGTAATTCAACAAACGTGTAAAAGATTTTATCAATCACAGAACCATGAGACAACCTCAGACTCGGTGAAAACAAATTGAAAAAGGAGAGGGGACACACAAAATTTCAAAACTATTGGTTATTGATATCCAGTCCAGGATGCCTCTCTGCAACTAAAGAGTAAAAGGATCAAAAGAAATATGGTTCGTTCGCCACAGGAGTTCAAACTATTCTGTTTCATTAGCTCCTAATATCGGGAGAAGCAAATCTCCTTCATACAACAAACCTGAAGTTGATCACCAAAAATTACTAAAAATATGGATCCCTTTTATTGAGATTCTGAAGATGCATCTATTCATACTGTAATCAAAAAAACCATTCAAGACATGCTATGATACAAATGAACCAGGGTTGCCACTGTCTCTAGTTAAGTTGAGGTTAACACCGTGAAATCAAACTAGGCTGACCCATTAATTGCACCAGATTGCGAACCTCACCAAATTCCAACTTGAATTTTCATTCTGGAGAAACTTCATCTGGAATTTTTGTTTTAATATCAAATAGAGTATAAAGAAAATGAAGTCTCCTTGCATCAGGAAACCATCATAATATCATACAGCTACTGACTGAATGAATAACTGTGAAAATCAGAAATACTGATGATAGATATCAAATACTGGTTAGAAATAGTGGAGGAAATGATACAGGAAGCCATGTGGATCAACATGTACCCAAGCAGTTCATAGATGGGCTTGAAGAGGACAATTTTCCAGCCTATTCATCTAAGTGGTTGAATATTCCAAAAGGGGGAAAATGAAAGAAGACATCGCCGTTCATATAGAGAAAAAGGGACCCCCCCCCCCCCGCGTGCGCACGAGAGGGGGGGGAGAGAGAAACGTAAAAGGAAAAAAAAAAAAAAAAGGAAAGAAAGTGGACTTAGATGTGGAGTATAAAGCGTTCAATAAAAAAACTGCAGTATTTTCCAGAAATTATCAATAAATAAGAGAACATTTTCCTGGAAAAACAAAAAATCATATTTCCCTTTACAAGATTAGGAGATAAATTTCAACGAACAACCGGAGATTTGATCGCATAGAGTTCAATTCCCATTCTCAAACCATGACCACTATGAGCTGAAGGCTTCCTTTGTAACTCCCAGAACTTCTTCGTAAAAGCTCCCTTCCATGCCTTGATCGGAAACCTTAAAATGGCTTTATTTCATTATATTACATCCATATCATAAATCCATTCATTTAATATCCCTTTGGTGTCATTGACATAACAGATGTCGTTTCTAGTATACGTCTTTCTATTTCTTTTATATATATATAGGAAATTAAAAATCATCACAGAATTCTGCTACATCTCCTGATGAAGTGCTATAAACAAGGTAAACATGGAGCGACAATGGAGAAAGGTACATGCTTTTTAAAAGGGGAGAAATATTGGTTAGAACAGGGGGGAGAGAGAGAGAGGGGCAGACAGACAAGACAGACAGACCGACCAACCTGGAGAAGATCTTCGACTGATGATGAAGAGAGCAGCTTTATACCCCAGGATTTCCGAAAATCCTCTGACCAAGCTGGCTGAAAAGCTTCTGCAGGAACAGAAACCTGCCAGGGCAATAAATATTTACCATAAAAGGTGCACTGAACAATTACAAAAAAATATATTAAGGACTGAAGATCAATATCTTTATTTCAATCAAGGGTAGAATATGATAGTGACTGTTGTAAAGCATATATGTAAACAAAAACATGTTCTTACCTCTACTGACACCAATTGTGCTTTGAGCAATCTGATTCTCAGAGGAGAGGAAGAATCCTGACCATGCAGAGTCCAACTGGGATCCACCTTCAGTTTCTCTTTGCATTGAGCTACATGTTCAGAAAAATTTACATCGCTGACAGATCTGACATAAGTCCTATGGCAAGAAGGACAGTGGTTATACTCAAACAAGTACAAATCTCGGCAGTAGTCGCAAATGCTGAATAATTTTTCGCTTCTGGTCTTCCCATACTTCATGGCACATAACATCGAAGAATTATAACATTCTTCCCACATCCACTTTTCAAAATCTCGATATCTCTTGAAGGCATCATTTTTCTCTGTTTCATTCCTCCCCAGTCCAATACTGAAAGTTGACGAGGCTTCTGGCATACCAGAATTTAAAACAGTAATGCTGGGACTAGCTATACAGGAATTGCAGTCAGGGTTCAAAGCTATTTCAGAAGCTTCTGTTGTATTAGAATGTCCAAGGTTATCCCCACTGTAGGCCCGCAACAAGTTCCTTCTAACACTTTCCTTGAAAGCCACTTCAATCCTTTGCAACATTGAGTGCAAATGGGACTCCCTTATCCCACGTACATCCAAAGATGCCAACAGCGCATTGAAAGCCTACATGTAGCAAACAAATAGAACTATCAAAATCAAAACATTCACATGAGTATCACCATGAAAAAGAATTGTGTTGTATCATCCAGTTGCACCTTACAGCCATAAAAACCCATTATCAGTGTTGGTCCCACCAATAGGGAGCTTTAGGAGATATCGGTATATGAAAAACTTAGCTACTCCCAGACTTGATCTCACATTCTTGTGATTGACTGCCCAAGCATTTGAGCATTGTAGCAATCAATGGCTTTGGCGTTTCGCTTGAGAACACATCCAGTTTATCATTTTTTGGCAACAATTACCCCGTTTGGTTGTAGGGAAAATAGGAAGGATGGAAAATGAAGGAAGGAAAGTGGGAGGGAAGGAAAATCTTTCCATTGTTTAGTATGGACGGAAAATGGGAGGGAATGGAAAATGGAAGGGAAATGCTTTCCCTTGAGCCCACCAAACATTTTCCCCCAAAAAATGGGGGGAAATGGACTAAAAATGGAGGGAAGATAGACTTTTTTGTGAATTGACTATTTTACCCACCACTCTCTGCTTCAATGTTCAGAGAATGAAACCTAAAAAATTATTTGCCTCCCCTTTTTTTTCCTTCTCTTTTGGTTCCCAATAGTCCCATAATTCAAACCGTTTAGGTCTAATTTTTTTAATTATATAATTTTTAGTATTTAGTATTTACCACATAATATAATTAGAACTTAACTTATTAAGTTTGCTTTTGTATATGTAATGGAAGATTTAATATTTAAATGTACATAATGAAGAAAATACATATAATTTCTAGTTAGATACACATTAAATAATTAAATGAAGAATTTCTTTATAAGTAAATTATATTTTTAATTTTATTTCAATAAATGATACAATAGAACATGAATTTTGGTTGTAAAATTTGAAATATTTAATATTTCATCTTTGATTGAAGTATTTTTTGTCTAATTATAATATTTTAAACTTAAAAAAGGGTCTAAATATTATATACTTATAAAATTTATGGGGTTTAAATATTATATAATTATAAAAAAAAATCATGCATTTTGGTTTATTTTCTTTAATCTTATTCGTGTAATTAGATGTGAGGGTCTAATGGTAAATTCGGTATATGTATTTTTCCTTTCCATCCAATTTTCTATCCAATATCAAATAAAGAAAAATGCATCCCTTCAATTTTTCATTCATCATACCAAACATAATGAGAGAAAATATATGTCTTCTAACTTTTCATCCTTCCAACTTTTCATCCTTTTTTTCATACCAAACGGACCCTTAATTAGAATGCAACAACCTTAAAACAAACTGCTAGATCTTAGATATCCTGCTAATACAAAAACTTGAGGAATCAGCTGATGTAACAATACAAGGGGAAACCACCAATTTCACCATGTCAATCGAGGAGCGGCAACTTCCATAACAAGAGGGTTAGAAACATCTGAAGTAGCAGAAAAGGGCACAATTTTATAATGATAGGCTTTTGCTACATACCAAATCGCAAAGAAAGCTTTTTATGCACAATAAGAGTAGAAAAGGGGAGGAACATAAAAACCAAAAAAAGAAAGAAAGAACTTTGGGACGTGGGGAGGGCCGGGGGGAACATACCATCTATAAGCACAAAGGGAAGGTGATCCATGCACATAATGCACCCACACAGAGTCTACATAAGATTTATCTACAAAAGAAGCTAAATCCCATAAAGTCAATTATACCTCTTCAGAATCAATTAGCCTCCAGTGACCATCACGAAGCTCAACGAAGATCCTGCCAGAGCCGGGATCATTTTGAGAAGCTGCTGTCATAAATTGCCAGTATCGATTTCTTCTGCGATCTTGCCCAAGAGGCAATGATCTGTATACATACATCTCCTCTGCCCTGTGACCAATATAAGCTTTTAACTGTGAACGTGACTTCTCAGCAGCATATCCGGATTGCTGAAGTAGAAGACTATCTGGGCCAGCAGAGAATTCTTGCATTGGCAAGTTCCTTCCAGCAGACATATTAGGATAAGTGGGGTTATTCTGTGAATCACCCAAGTGTTCCTCATGGACTGCAGTGTTTGTTGATGCCAAATCAACTTTGTCATCAACAGAATGAAATGGACTTTGCCTGCCCTCCACAACAGACGTAGAAAGAGTTTGTTCGGCCTTGTTACCTAAAAAAGATGGCACCTGCATCTTCATGATATACTCCTCTTTCATCCGACGCTTATCAAGTTGTGCCTCTGCCCATATCTGCTTCTTCAATGCATTTGCTGCTTCCATGCGTTCCTGGAACACAATCCTTTCAGATCCAAGGGAAAATGAATTGCAGAAATAGTGAGTTTATAGTAATTTTCCACAAAAGAAACATACAATCTTACCTCTAGGACAATGCGGATAGAGTTCCCTTCATTTGCCACACCAATTAAAGCAACAAGGGCATTAAGGCGCTCTTCAACACTTAAATCAGAGAACTCCCCTTCCATAAGTCCTTGAACCCACAGTTCACCAGAGTTGCTTTCATCAATCACTGTGTCTTCATGATTGAGATTAGTTGCCTGCTTATAGATCACGGCATTATCAATAGATTGATTAACAGAAGCACCATTGTTTACATCCTTGAAGCCTACAGATTCCATCAATGAGAAACCGCTGCCCAAATCCCCAAGATCACCATGCGGAATTTCCATCTTCTTATCATGAGAAAGCTCCTCTCCATTTCTGGAGCAATTTTTCTCTTGAGATCTGTTCGCTTCACGAGAAAGAAGGGCATCTTCGTTTGGCTTCAATTCAGTACCCAAATCATCTATCTCAGGATCCTCGGCCACATCACTTTCGGAATCTTCATCTTTTTCAACATCATCTCTTTCAACATCATCTGCATCGTCTCCATCAAGATATCCATTATTATATACCTGAACTTTTTGTCTGGCTGCAGATAATATTGCCTCAGCATCAGTAGGATCCTTTCTAAAGGGGGCTCGTACACAATATGTTGAAGGAGCTGTTCTTTCAAAAATCTTTGAATCCCTCGACAAAGCAGCAGCAATAGATGCTTCTGGCGTTTTGCTTGTTGTTAGATCCCGAAGACCAGATTTCTTACACGAAAAGGTTATACTAAATGAGTTAAAAAGTTGACGGAAAAACAGAAGTTATACAATCCCAACCTAAGAGTTACCTGAATCTTGTCCGCAACTTCTAATATAGTGAGGCCCATGCTTCCCTCAAGAGAAAGAACATGAAATGCTGCAAATTTGACTGTACCAGGTGTCAGTCGATGCCTAGATCTCCGTGGGTTGGAGAAACCCCTCTCTTGCATTATGGCAAGAGCATTTCCAGCTGCAACTCCATTGCGTAAATTGGAAATGATGTCTTCACCATCATTAACCTGCACTTGTGCAGCAACATACACAGACGCAAAAAGGTTAAACAAGCTTTGGACAATAGTGTACACTAATGTGTTGCTAAAATTCAGTTTTTTTTAAAATTTATACTATTTTATTTTCTGGTGGCCAAAAGGTTGATGAAAAACATCTGCAAGCCTTGCAGTACATTGGGCAATGTCATAAATTTCCCAATGTTCTCAACAAATTTAAGAGAAAGATATGGACAAATATTATGAAATTTGTAACAAAATCTTAAAACTCAGCTATAACTTACTAGGAAAAGAATTATATGAGAGGAAAAATATACAATTTACATGATGAACTGCAGTCTGGACATGCCAAAAAAAATATGAAGCACATTTTATAGAATACATCCGGCAGCTACCTAAGAGAAATTACTTATTAAATAATAGGTATAATAAAACTAACTATTGATGGATAACTAGCACCTCAAATGGCAGGGGAAGTTGCACCATCAAAACTATAACAATACTCTCTTACACATAATATACAAGCTAAATGTTTATACTTCATGAGGCTGACACAGCTTTAAGCCTATGATTGTTTATTCTGGCTGTGCATGGGTAGACTCAAACTGCCAACCTAAGTTCAATGGCCAAAATTCATATACAAGGGATAACCAAAAATTTAATGCATAAAGGTTTGCATATGTTTTAACCAAATTTGCAATGACTTTCATACCACTGCTAAACCTAGCATAGTAAAAAATTCTTATCATGGCTGCTTGCAAACGATGAATCAACTTCTACATTGAAACATGAAATTCTACACGGAAAGAGATCATACCTCATTTTCATCGCGGAGGTATGATTGTTCAATACTTCTTTTCTTCAATTTTGGCCCAAAACCTGCAGATAGAGCAAACTGCCGCAATATTTCAGGCCATGTCAATGGATTTAAGTGGCGCTGCCAGGTGCGTATATCAAAACCCCAAGCATATGCCTGATAAACATACACTATCCAAATGCTTTAGAATGAATAAGTGAGGTATAAACTTCAGTTGAAATCAAATTGCAAACCCATTAGAGAACAGAACTTACCCCTTCAACAATGTGTGGATGCCCACCTCCAGGATTAACGGCACAGTTTTGGTTTGTTACCAGCCCGGTTGAGGGTGTCCTTGCGACATCTTCAATATCTTTAATTATTGACCTCAGAAGAGCAACATTTATCTCGCCCAACAACCTTGGATCCTGAAAATTATAGGAGCAGCCATGTAGTATGAATATCAAGAAAAAACAGCCCAAATAATAATTGAATGTCAGAATTGGACATCAATATCTCAAGAACTTACATAATCGTGAAAAGCTTGAACAAACTCATCCAGAGTAAATGGCCAAAGCCCCAGAACATCAGCAAAAGTAATCAAAAATCGCCAAACCTAAGAATTAAATAAAAAGTTTGCAACATTACATGTCCATGAAACTTAGGGCTCAGTCCCTGAAGTTGCAGAAAATAAAAAATTATAAGATTAAAAACATAAACTTCATAAAAATTGGAAGTTCAGTGCTAAACAAACTTTTCATCCTCGAAAATTACACTTAGTGGTACTTGGTCCATGAAGATAATTGTGTTAATTCAATCATTAAAGTTTCAAATTGTGACTGGTCCAGTTATAAGCTTCTGTCCAAGAATGTAATGAAATTAGACACAAATCAGCTTGTAATTGCTTTAATGTGCTTAATTTCGCAAGGTTGTGGATGGAAATTAACAATTGGACCATTTAAACACATTTGAATACAACATTAACATTAAATATAGTGAAGTTTTGCTTGGCCTAAAACATATAGGATATGGGCAATACAAAACCAAGAACAAAATAGGGAGCTTGATGAAACCACCGGATCAACGAGAAGATGCTTCAAAATTCACATCAATTCAAGTACCATTAAGAATTTGAACCTAATTTACAACTTAACCCTTGCGAAGAAGAAAATTACGTGAATGTTGATTGTGTGGTAGAACGCTAGAAATATATACAAACAATATTCTTTTCAATGTTTATTCTGGATGTAGTTTGTCTTCTGCAACATGCTGAAAAAGCATACTTTTGTATTAAATTAAAAATCAAAGACAAATCAAACAGTATCTTGTGATTACCCAGTTTAACCAAAGATAAACCAAGCAACCTACATCACAAGAAAAAGGAGAATAGACAATGAGAAAGCATCCCATTATATTAGGCTTGTGCTTGTGAAAATGTTACAAAAATTTAATATTCCTCATCTACTACATGAGTGACCTTAAAACCAACGACTGACACCACTTCATCCATGACTTCACCACTTGACAAGACCCAAAGTGTTACTTGTAACATCGAACACCAACCAACCTCCTTCCCTCCCCCCCAAACCCAACCCCCAAAGAAAGACCCCAAAATGAACAAAATAACACATGCACACACATATATATAATAAAAGAGAACAGATGAAAATGAAAGTAAATCTCACCATAAGAAGATTTCCTATGTTCTCCTCAGAATCAGTCCAAGGTTGAATTGCAAATGGCTTTTTGATGCGCACAGACTTGGGTGGGAATTCAGTGAGCATATCTAATGCATAAAAGAAGTTATAAGCTGATAAGAAGATTACTTAAAAAACACTATAGGCAAAATAGACCACCGGCCCGAAGTTCTGAGAATTAGACAACAGATAAACAGAATAGTATAAGAACCAAATGAGCCGATCATACACAAATTCCTCTACAAAAAATCTCAAATTGGCACAACTGCATTGCTGATTGGCATAACATAAAGTCATCCTATAACAATTGCAAACTTCTGGAGAATATTGCACAACATGTATGAAAATTCTGTATCCTTTCAACAACAGAATCCGATAGTTCACCTAACCACCTCTCCCCCTCTTCCTCTCCCTCTGGCCCCGCACCACCTAAGCCAATTAAGGAATAGACATTGAATATCAAACTCAAACCAAAATCCAATTCCAATATCTCAACATGTCACTACAATTTAAAGCTTATTTCATTAAACACCCGCCATAATTTCAATCAAGACCCAACACTTTCCATATATCACAAAACACCCACTACGTAGACCCCCGCCACTACGGAATCTAAGGAAGGTTAGATATATACAATCTTAACTTCGCATGTAGAGAGTTGGTTTTAGTGACTCAATCTCTTGATGCCCAATCTCTTGATGCATAGGTTATAATGGAGTAACCTTATCATTAAGCATGGTTCAAAGTATCGGTCGATACCGATACAAGTCGCCAAGTGGGACACGACTCGACTCCTTCCGAGACGATATCGTTATATGATACGTATAAATTCTGAGTTTTACATGACCAGTGTTTTGAAAAGCTCGCCTAGGCGAGAAGCGAGGCGAGGCGAGCTTATCTCGCCTGGAGGACCCCAGGCGAAGCGAACGTGAGCGAAGCGAGAAAAAGCGAGAAAAAGCGAACAAGCGAAGAAGCGAAAAAGCGAAAAAGCGAACGCTTTATTATAAAAAGCGATTCTGCTTCACTTTTTTTTTTTTTTTTTTTTTTCTGATTACAGGTTAGTAGTCTCTTTTATTTTTTAATCACTAATGACTTTTTTTTAGACTATTGCTGGTCTATTTTTTTTTTTTTTCTAATAAACAATGTTTCGAACAAAACACATTCCTTTTTTTTCCTTGTGTTGCTGAATTCATTTAGAATATTTGTGGGATGTGGGAGTCAGGCGACTACACTGCATGACAATTATGATAAAAAAATAAAGCAGGAGTATCAGAAATGGGGGTAAATAATAAATTCTTCTACAAAGAAGTGTCTCTGATATGTCTTGGTTATACTTTTCCCTTTTCTTATATATATACAAATGGTACCAAAAAGTGGTCTATGCTTATACCATGTTTAATTATTTTAGTACATGTGAAATGTGCCTCTGTTCTGCTTTTTTTTATTCAGTATATAATTACATATGAAATTGTTTACAATTGATTCTGCTCCTGTCATGATCATTGTGCTTCTGTTTTTTTTTAGCTCATTCTGCTTCTATTTTTTTTTTTGTTGATTTTGTTGTTGCTTCGATTTTGCTGTCCTGTGTTGCTTTTGTTTTTTTTAATTGTCATTCTGCTTCTTTTTTTTTTTGTTGCTAATTCTGCTGTTGTCCTGATTCTGCTTCTTTTGTTGTCCTACCCTGTCAATATGAAAATGTATACAATTGTTAGTATTTGTTTGAATTTAAATGTTTAAGTTATGACTGTTATTAAGATTTGAGATATTATTAGTGTTTTTTTTAATTTAAATGTTTATGGTTTTACTTGCATTTAAATATTTAGTATATATAAAATTAGAACTTAGATTGTTTAGAAGTAATTAAACTAAAATATATTTTTTTTTTAACTGTTCGCTTTGCTTCGGTAAAGCGTGTCGCTTCGCTTCTCGCTTCTCGCCTAGGCGTTAGGAGCCTTGGTCGCTTCGGTTCGCTTTACGCCTTAAATAACACTGTACATGACTCACCAAGTCATCCAAATTATATCCGAGTCGCCGAGTCATCGTCTCCGAATAGGCCGATACGATTCTATGACGCCACGATACAACCTAAATCTCTCGTCATGTTCAACATTTTTTTATAAGTCGTATCACCTGATATTGCGCAATGACCGATGTATATTAGAACTTTTTGAATCGATGGTCAATACCGCAACCTTGAACCATGTCATTGAGCCAAGGCCACCCTCTAACATATGTAAATGCTTATAAGATCTAATATTTATTTCCTGTAATACTGCAACTCTTCAAACATTTGAAGACATTGTAAACCGCTTCTATGTAACCATAAATAAGATCTCTATCAAGGCCTGTTTCCCTCTGCAATTCCATAACTATGTATGCCACTCTAAAAAAGAACAATAAGAAATGCAATGTTGATACAAGAAAAGTTTTTGTAACACAATGTAAAAGGTTTCAAGCAAGCTATAATATGTGTTCAGAAATGCTGCAACAGTCATAATTAAGCACAATGTTCAGAAATACTGCAACAGTCAAACAATTAAAACAGATCAAGTATGGAAGTTAAAAATCATTTGACATATGACAAAAAAACCACCTCTAAACAACTCAAGATTTTGCACAGTTTCGCTGTCAAGTGCCAATATTGAAGGCAACCCCCGCCGTGATGCTGCTAATTCCATGAGTTCCAGACGTTCGTCATCGATAAGTTCCATTGATTCTTTAGCGATTCTTCGAGCAGCAGCCCTGTCGTTTGCAGCTTTAAGCCTTGCAGTCTCTTTCTCTCTACGCATTTCTTCTTTTAGCCTCAATTTCTCAGCCTGGTAGACAAAAACAAATGATTTATTATTATATGACAAAAAAACAAGACTAGCATATAGCCGTGCGAGGACTCCCAAACTTACTCTAATGGATTCTTTCTGTAAAAACTTCTCTCTTCGTTCCATTTCTCGTCTTTGTTCCCTATGGTATCTCTCCTCCTCACGCTGCTTCTCACGCAATAGCCTTTCTTCTTCCTTACGCCTTTCACGGTCCTGCCTCTCCATTTCTTTCCTCATTTGTTCTTCTCTCTTAAGAGGCAAATGAATAAAATTAGTTCACCAATAGCATCCTCCATGAAGAGAACATATAATTAACAAGAGTAAGACCTTTCGCCTCAATATATCTTGTCGTTCAAGCTCTTTCTTGATCCTTTTCTCATGGGCTTCAACTTCCTTTGCTATTCTGGCCTCGTCAATCTGCAAGAGCTAACTAAACAAATAAGAAATCCTCATTTTGCTTGTGTGTGTGTGTGTGTGCAAGTCTTCAGTGATGATGAGCAAAAACACCTTGCGCTTCCTCTCCATCCGTGAAGCATCGTCATCACAGGTGACCCGCCTGTCAGATGGTATAAATGGATTGTCCGGCTCAGCTAATGGGTAAGCACCAAAACGAGCATCCATACCAGTGTTGGCATCAGTGTTTTTCCGTGGAATGATGTCATACTCTCCAGAAGCCGTTGGCAAGAGATGGCCGTGTCTTGCTGGCTGAGGCAAAAGACTTAGACTTGACGTCTGACCTTGAAAACCATATTCCAAAGGTACTTGTTCATTGCCTTGAATAATTGACCGCCCAGCAGATAATGGAGTCCCAGCACTTGGAACGTCAATTGGTGAACTGTAAAAGTGAGATGGGACAGCTCTTTCGTATGTATCATTTCTAACAGATGGCTGCTCTGGTAGAAACTGGTATTCGTGGAGAGTCCTCACGGCACCCTGATGATTAACCATACGAAATTTTCCAATCGTCAAATTTGTCTTAATTAATTTTTTTTTTTGTATAAGTAACAGATTTTATTAATAAAAGGAAAAGGTAGTACAATAGACTAATAAGGGTGGACAAGTAGTCCAAACCTTATGTTAAACTTGGTGCAAATTAGGAAAGAAAGATGTCAGCTCAGCTTAATGTTTTTATCCAAACACAAACAACGCCAAACATATAGTAAATTGCATACAAGTATCAAAATTTCGTTTCAGTGCATTGTTTTGATCACCTAGAAAATAAAAATGTTTCGACATGTTTCGAAAATGTTTCAACCCGTTTTAAAAATAGAATGAAAAAAATAAAAATTTAAAAATTATTTTTTCAAAACATTGGTCAAAATATACCAAAATATCTTGAAATACCTTAAAACATTCTAAAATAATTGTGCAAATACATTGAAATATAACAAAATATTTCGAAATATTATGGAACACCTCGAAGTATTAGAATTTCAATTCCATCATTGATTCGTTTCGGACTCCTTAGAACAAAAACGTTTCAGATGTTTCGACCGTTTTGAAGCGATATTTTGATTATTGATTGCATATAACAAATTTCAGAAGAAGACTAGCAAACTAGTGGTTAAATGGTGTGTTTGTCTCTTTTAATTACTTTGTTTTCCCTTTTCTTATTTGTTGGGAGAGGGGGAGAGGGGAGAGGGGAAGAGGGGCTTTTATCACTACATATGTAACTGGGTGTGAGAGAGAGGGGAGACGGGATGAGAAAGGACAATAAAAATAAGACAAATTAAAACATTAAAAATCATAAATCAAGAACAAAGAATGCCTGAAGAGATTCCCCACAATATAATTATGCATCAGAAATCAACACAAGTATAGCCGATTTAAAAACACGGGGAAAACAGGTTTTTCCTATTCCAGCCAAAACATAAATGTTAAAAACAAAAAGAATAGTAGATGTGTAAGTCTCATATCTGGACCATCTGAATTGTAAAAAGTGAACAACTTCCGACAGAGGTATCATACACAAAGATCACAATAAGACATGGATCACTTCAAACACATTGTCCACTTTGTATTCAGGGTCCAATGTGGTACTCGGATCTTATCAGTGTCCAATAGCCGGATTTAATCCTAACAGCAAGACGGATCTTTAAAATGCAGAGAATGGGATAAGAAAAATAAGCAGCTTGAAATAAATGGCCGCACATTCTTTCAGAGAGACAATGTGGAGCTTTAAGAAAATACTACTTAAAACAATTCCTAATATCAATTTTTTTACGAAACAAAAACTAGATGTCTTTATGAACAATTATCAAATAATATAATTCCCTGAAATGGTAGGAAAAAGAGCAGTGCAATATAACTACAATTATAGGAGCAAAAACTTTGCAGTAATGATGCAGTTTTGTTTCTTTCTTGTGTTCCAAATTATTTCCTCAATCAAAACACTCACGCTCCTTGAGAAGCCAAATACACCTCCAACCTAAACAATTTATCGTGGTCTAAATTATCAGTATTCAACCTTTTTGAGACTACATTAACTTATTTGCTTATTTATATACCTATTTTGGTTAAGCATCTCTAGAGAACAACATTTATTGCAAACTTCTTAATAATAAGCATGGCATTATTCAGATTGCAGAGAGAGAGATACTCAATATATACAAGTTTCTTATCAACCTGAAAAACCTAAATCAATTCATTTATGTTTGAAAAGCCCTAATCTAAACTGGTTGGGATTGCCTATGTAGACCCCCTGTCTCTAATCAGCTCAAGAAAGTAGAATTTTTTCCCTTTGTAAGCTTTTTTCACACCATAAACTTGATCAAATCATGAAACCATCTCTTTCCAATACACCAACATTAAGGAGGCTTCTTTTTAGATTTTTCGTGCAATGTCTGACAGTTAATAGTCTATTGCTTGTTACTTGTTATCCACATCATTATGCATATTAACATACTATTTACGTGTTGGAATTGTGTTAGTGCACACTGCTATAGATGGAACTCATGTCGAGACACGTGTACCGATTGGTAAGCAAATCCATACCGTGGTAAGAAAGTTGAACCAACACAAATGTTGTATGTGCATGTTCATTCATCAGCAATTCACATTCGTTATGGGTGGTTGGGAAGGAATTGTCAATGACTCCAGAGTATTTATTGAGTACATTAACAATCTAGAAAACAAATTCTCAATGCCTGAAGAATGTATTTCTTCATTTTAACCTTCATTTCCATTCATAGAATTTACAACTTATCATATAATTTACAAGTGTACCATTTGACCGATAAATATTATTTTTGTTAATTCTGGATATACGAACATGTCTGGGTTTTTGTCACCGTATCGGGATGAGAGATATCATTTACGTGAGTATAGACTATAGAGGTAGTGGGTGACATCCAAGAAGCAAAATAGGATTGTCACTTATCACTTCGAATGTTATTGAGTGTTCTTTTGGAGTACAAAAGGCTCAGTTACCCATTCTCAAACAAATGCCCCTTATCCTATAAGAACAAAAAAATACATTCCAACAACTTGTTGCACCCTCCACAACTACATTAGAATGCACGCTCCTCAAGATCAATTGTTCGATGAGGTCAATAATATGAAGACAGGGTGGATTCTAATGTAGGATCAACTACACAGAACCCGATTGGAGTAGATGTTAGTCAATCTCAGCTTCGTCAAAAGGCTCGTGTGAGAGATCGCATTACCGATGAGTTGTGGCAATTGTTGGGTATTTGAGACACATGGTTGTTGTGCATATGACTTTGGTGTATTGGTTTTATGAATTATGAATCATCCATGTATGTTGACGATTAAATACTAGTTTTTATGTGTAATGATGTATTTCCAATCACCTATGTTATTATTGATTAGGATGCTAGTATTATGTTATATAAATTGGCATTACTTTCTTTCATGTTATATAATGTTATAGGAATACATATAATGGCACATGTTGGTCCTCCGGGTGCATGTGGTTTGGGTAACATGCAGGTTCTTGTAGCAAGGACGAAGAACAATAGTCGACCATTTTATCGGTGCCCACAAGAATTGGATCATGACAATTCCTTCATATTGTTAGGGAAGAGCTTAATGTGATTCACAAAACCCAAGTATGACAGAGGCAATATGTTGATTGTCACTTTTTGTGGTTGCAACGTGGTCCTATGTTGTGCACTATTTTTCTTACTCTTTGTAATATTTATTGGGGCTTTGCTCCAGTGAGGGAGGAGTAGTAGTATCCTTAAGACTATGGACTATTAGATGTTTATATGGATTATGGGATATATTTGTAGTATGGTAGCTTTATGAATTATTATATGGCTTAGTGTGTTATTCTTATATTGTATTGTTTTTACAGTTAAACTAGCAGAGTAAGGGTCTTTATCATGGAACGTGTGTATGTGCATCAGACTTCAATGAAGTTGAAATTGATCGGATTCTTTCTATGGTGACAATGCAGATTGTATGTTTGAAAGATTGATGAAACATGGATGGAGTATCATCCCGATATCTGCATCGGTATGATACTGCATGGTTTGATTATCCTCGCCCCTACTCTCTAAAGCATCTTTAAAGGGAAGCCCTAAGCTACCACTCTCGGATATCACTAGTGAAGCCTTACCTGCAATTAAAGATTAGAAAGCCCTTCACCCTACTAATAAAAGGCACTATCTCGGATTCGTTGAACTTTCACTCGAGCTTGACCAGATACTCGCAGTTGTTCATAAAACAATTTAGAAATGTTTATCAAACGAGTTCTCTATTTCTGTTTTCATTTTTTTTTTTTTTTGACAGCAAGAAATATAACCAAACAAGTTTTCTATTTTCATTTTTTACACACAAAAACAAAAAAAAAAAAAAAAACCAAAGCTGTTTCCGTTTTCAATTTTTTTTTTAAACCAAAAACTGAAAACGTTGTCAAACGGCGCCTAAATATTTCTAAGTTAATGCCTGTAGCACCCATGTTGCGTACTACTTGCCATAAGGTCTCAATGACAAACACATCATATACATGCATCTACATTTGTTAGATAGATGATGAATCAATCCCAGCAGTTCACTAATGTGCAGAATGTCAAAATATGGCAACCCCATCATGCCTACAACAACCAAATATATATGAAAAAGAGAGGATGTGAAATTGACACTACCAATAACGATAGTATGCATGTAGCTGCAACAGCATACCTTCTAGAAAACTTCCACACAGGAATGACCGACACGAAAACCTCATAGGGAAGCATATGATCATCCCAAGACAAATAATAATGTCAACACCATTTATCTCATGCTCAAGTATAATGCATAGGAAATCACCGCAAAAGAAAAAACACAGCATAATCTTCACCTTGATTGGTTTAGAATCTGGCCGCTCATACAATTTGGTCTCATAAGGCCGTCCAGCTGGCTTCGGCTGCCCTGCTGTCACTGTCTCATGTAAAAACTACAGGATCAGCAGTAGGAATAACATAAACAACCAGAGATACAAGATGAAGCAAGTTCAAAAACACTAAATTATGCACAACTTCAATTTCTTAACTCAACTGATCCTTGTCTCAACTATTTGAGGTAGTAGGCACTTAAATGCAACTTCAACAATCAGCAACTTATCCAGGAAAAAGTGACCTATAGCCACTTTTACCCCTTTTGAGGAACATGATGGGGGAGCAGAAGACAGAGATGATGGGGATGATGCTATATGCGTATTAAACAATTATTTACACTACTAATAAAAGTACAAAAAACTTTTGATTCATTATTTTGTCCTCGTAAAAAATCATAAAGGCAATTGCATCCTAATGTATTTATATATTCAAATTGTTATTATGTCCTTATGTATTTAATTGACCAAATTACCCTCCAACATCTCCTTTAATTTCATAATCTATACCTATATTTATATTATTAAATTGAACAACTTTTGACTGACCAAAATGACCTTATTAAAATACTAAGCTACAATACAATCCTGGTATAACTCCAAATAT